GAGAGAGCGCTGACATTTTGAAGTCTTCGGCCTCTAGTTGATCTATGTTTCATTCATTAGTTTCAGACAGTGTGGTTTCCTTAGAAACGTTATATTCGGTACAGACTCAAGACCAGTGTGAATATCTACTGCAGACTCCAAGGAGTCCGTTGTAACAATAGCGGGTCTTGCACATTTGAGTAGGTGGTGAGCGGCTCATAGGACACAGTCTTGGCAGAGAGTCAGCTGCCTCAGAGTCTTTGCTCATTAAGATAGTCTATAAACACCTAGTGCCTGTGTTCTGCTCACTAGAGAGACAAAACAAAAATAAAACCTGTTTTTATGTCACTTACACTGTAGGGAGGGACTGAGGAAGAAAGCAGTAATACATTTATAAGTTTCAGACAGTATTATGAGGGGAAAAAGAAAGAGAATCTCTAGGGGCAGACATGGGAATGTCACTGTCGCCAACCCTCCTGATCCCCATCTTGAACTTTATTTAAAAGTTCTTGAGACATTTTGACTATCTTTGTAAATACCTTCCGATTAGAATGCTTGGAGATATTACTGTTTGGGGCTTTCTGAATGCCAACAGGAAAGGGCTTGGGTGTGATGATGCTCCCTGCCCCTTGTTTGTCCCACTGCCTGATCATGTAGCAAAAATGTTTGTACAGTGGCATCTCCTGATACTGGTGACATTCTCACCGACTGAATGGTCTGATTCAGTGACAGAGGACAGCATCTGCAGCCCCAGCCCTTGTGTGACATTTCACACTTGGAAGGTTCAGCAGACTTCCATTTCCTATCTAGCGAGAATCATTCATTCTTTTTGTTGGAGAGGTTCATTGATAGAACTAAAGAGGTGAAGTCGAATCAGGCTGAGGAAGTGGCCTTCATGTGCTGGAAAACCGATACAGCTATTAAATCCAGTGTCAAAGTCACACTAGATATCTGCTGTAATAATGGAAATTTAGATCAATGAAGCATCAAATTGTATGAACAACAACGATAGGGCAATAAGTAGAGACTTCAATAAAGACCTTCAAACTTGTCCTCTCTCTGTGATAAAGGTTGCCCGTTCTCCATGACGTCAAAGACATAACAATTTTTCCTCCCAGATCTGGGAATTGAGACGTGGACCCTTCCTGGGTATATTCTAATAACTCTACTGAGTACATTCTTGTTGGATGGGGACAAATTTTAGACTCTCAATCTCATATTTACATGTCTAGCCCAAACCTCTAAATGGGACATCAAGGAAAAATTGACATTCAATCATTTATGGACATATCAATTCATATCTATTCTAATAGTCCACAAATAGAAAAAATTGACCCTTCACATCCTTTTGTGACCTAAATCTGGATATAGATTTAAGACAATTGTCCTGAGTGCCCTAAAGTTTCTAAAAGATGATAGCAACACCATTTTGTAGATTTCCACATTTGTTAGCAGAATGAGGTTCTTTATGATGAACAAGGAAAGATACTCTGTGTGAAAGGGGAGGCAAGCCAAATCAATAGGACACTAACTGCAGGATTTAGGGTCTAATGCAATGTCCCATCTCTTCTCTTATACACAATAGACAGATACAATAAAAAAAATATTGTCTCTAGGGAAAACCATAAACTATTTCAAAAATCTGTCAAATTCAAAATATGAACAGATTTTCACTAGTAATTTCCACAACCCTCTAATTAGTCTAACTCCACTTCGCCAGTAGTCTGCCAACTTAAGGGCCTCAGATCAAAGGCTTTCTCATAAGACCACATTTATGGTATCTATAAACTCAAAATACCTTTGAACCTGGAACTCATTCTATCTTTGAAATAAGATTCAAACTTTACTTCCTTTTTTAGTACTATTATCTTTTTTCAGAAAGCTATCTTTAAACGTAGCCTTCAGCGTTCCAGGGCCAGACATGTTTTCTTTCATTACCTTAACTGAAAAGTTACAAAAGCTTATGAAAGTCTAAAAAAATTTTTTTTTTGCTTTTATATTTTATGCCATAATAGGCACCATTAAAATGAGAAGTACACAAATAATATTAATAATGCATTTCCTTTCATCCAAAGCAAATGCATTTGGCTCCTGAGAGCGTCTTAATACACTGCCTTCTTTTATGGGAGCCCAAGAAAGGAGATGAAAGGCTTTAATGAAAGACCCATATGACTTGTGATTATAAAGTAATTACTATACTAATTTTGAGTTTATGTGGAGATATTGAGTTTTGAAGTAAATGAAAAATTATATTTCTGTTAACACTCAACACTCTAATCCTTTTGGTACAGAGTGGTTCTCTCTGCTAGGCCGTAAGCATAGGGCACCCCACACGACAGAATCTTACCGATGTGCTGATCTGTATTTTTAAATAACTTTCACTCCAATGGCTTCAATTGACATAAAATGTCTACAGACAATCTTAAGATGTTCGTTCTGACCTTATCTTCTCTTCCTACCCAACCAAAGAACTCACTAACAAGAAGAGTTAAATTCAGTGATCACCAATGAATCACTGGGTGTATATAGCTTTGTAGGCTGACATGGGACTTGCCTACTCTTTGAAGGTTTTGGCCTCCTACTCTGAAGGAACCGGTGAGGTTAAATGGCTCTGAGACAGCACCTGTCTTGGGAGGCATCTCTCCACAAAGACCAGAAGGTGGCTGACAAGCCAAGACCGTCTTTTACGGAGGTACTGCTCACTAAATATACCTGCCCTACTCAAAGGGTGTAGTGGGATTGGAAGGTGAGCATGGGAGGAGTGAGTGGGGGGAAAGCTGCAAAATTGAATCCAGCTTAGCCTACGGACCACTTTGAAGTTTTCAACGGAAGCTTCGGCAAATCTTGAACACGTGTTTACCAGGTTTACACACTTTTCCCCCCGTCTATATTCTCTCCGGGACTGTCCAAGAGCAAAGATAGACATGGCAGGAGAATCATCAAGATTTCTTGATGCTGGGTTATGCTTCTTTGATCTATGTGACTTCATCCTAAGGTTTTGGGCTATGTCCTTCTTATTCCCAAACAAAGGCTTATGGGTACTTTAAGGTGAGTTCTCAGAGTACTTAGTCAGCCCAGGAGGAGTTTAGGAAAAAGTGGTTTTCTGTGTAAGTAAGCAGTAAGGGACGACTAACCCTTTAGCTTCTCATCCTGCTGGCTGCTCTACCTTTCTTCTCTTGGATTGTTTTAAGAATGGAGAAGATTTTGAAGACCTGTTCTCTCTGGCCCCTGCTTTATGAGAGATGACTAAAAAGAGGTTTCTTCATGGTCAAATCCCATAAAAATAACAATGAATCCCACAAGAAATTTGTAACTCCAGTGACCTTTAAATCACACACACCTGGAAGAACAAACGTTCTGTAATGAAGAGTCACTTGTGTAATAGAAAATAAAAGTTATGATTTATCAATCTGTTAACCCAATAATTAATGTAAATACATGGTTTAGTGACTTAGGGAAAATGTCCCTTCAAGTGAGTTATAATTTAGTATGCAACATTAGAAAATCCATGGAAGAAAATCATGGACAACAGCCTATGGGGTTTTGTCACTGTGACCACATGTCTGCAATAACTACATGAGAGAAGATGTTTATATTTTTGACTTGTGGCTTCCAAGGTCCCAGGCTGTGGGCATTTGGTTTCATTGGGTTCAAGCCCACGGTAAGGAATCCAGGTACAGAAAACCAAACATCTCCCATTCTTATCAAACATGAAGCTACAGTGTTCTTCCCTAGTGGGCCAGGGCAGTGGGAAGTCTCTTGTCTCTTCCTAGCAGAGGACTGTCAGGTACCAACAAAGATATAGAAGTCAAGGAGAGGGTGATACGGAGCTGACATGATTGACCTTCTAATAGGGTGCTTTCTTATGGCTGTGAACACAGCTCAGCCATGGCTGTTCTAGTTCTTCTAAATGGGACCAGCACTGAGAAGAATGTTTCACAGAATGGAATAGAAATCTTCGCACCGGGTGATGCCAACCAATTCCAGAAGTGAAACTACTTCAGACCATCAGTGTAGCAAAATAAGGAGATACAATGTCGGTATGTCTCCTTCTAAGCTGTGAACTTTCTTAATAGCCCTAAAGATTCTAACAAGACTAAACCCAATCACAGGCAACTCTTAGAAGAGCAGATAGGAATCACGAGCAAAGTCTCCCCAAAACTAGCCTCATCTTGTTCTTATTCAATGTAACACCCCTCCTTTTACCAACAGATCGGCCAACAGATTCAGTTTAATAGGAAAAACCACTCTGTCATTGCCAAAGAAAACCCCAAACTAGTCTATTTTAAAGTCCTATAGCTTAGCTTTATCCATGCTTAATTAAATATATAAACAGGGTTTAAATAAATCTGTAAAGACTACGAATTCTTTTCATCCAGCTCTTAAGTACAGGTGCTTTCATAAACGGTTTTCTAATTTTCAAGTTGAGATGGTAGTTTGGATTTCCTTCCCTCTTTAATCTGACAGTGTACGTGCTTTCATGCTTTTATATCTCGAAAACTAAAGCTTGAAAATACTGGTTTTGAAGGTAAAGAAATGTTCATATATTTCTCACAAATGGTTTGAGTAGAAAAACGTCATTCATTGTCTCACGAGAACCCAAATCACATCTTCCCAAGGAAACCAAGTCCTAGAGGTTCCGAAGAGTCATCCAACAGAAGCAAAATGAGGTTGGAAGAGATGAGAAGACAGGAAGCTACTCCCCCCACACACACACACCATGGATGAGTTCATGAACATCATCCTGCTGAAACCAGACGCAAGACAAGTAAAAGACAGTTGATATCATTTCTTGTCATTCTGTAAAGGGTTTTGCAGTGGCTTGCAGGTTGCAAGATCAATCCTCATAGATCAGCAAGGTTGCCTGACCTAGTTTTTGATTATTGGTTGTACAAGTTGTGTAGAGTGCAGTCCGTGCTCTGTGAATATCATGGGTACCAGGATGGAATCATTTAGGACCACCAAATAACAGGATTCAAAAATAAGCAAAACAGCTGAAATAGCCAACAGTCTGGTCTAACCTGGAATGCTCTGTCTCCTCACAGCCAATGTTCCATCGGGCGGCTTTGTCTGGCTGGCAGATTTAGTGTAGGGACTCTCATCTGCAAAGGCACAATGAAGGGTGTGGTTAATTTCCATCCAGTTTCTAGCCTGGCGAAGACCTGTAATGGTTTGCAATCCTTCTTCCAGAGAGAGGTCATCAGGGGAGGAGAAGAGTTGATGACCCGAGTCCTACACTTGAGTGAGCTTTAGGATGAGTATGGATGTACTGAATGTCAATCCCTTCGTGAGAAGGAGGGACACCATTCTCAGGTAGCCCTCAGAGTTGTAAGGATCGGAAGCTAAAATGTACATGGAGACAGTTTTCTTTTTAATGACAGCAAGAGTGCCAATAGGCACATCAATCCTTTGCCTGTCATCTAGATCCACCAATAAACAGTGAATATGTGCAACAGGAAGATAAAGACTGAACGAAATAGCCCAGTGGACAGTAAGAATAACCAGGGGAAAAACAAAGGAAAAAAGAGAAAATGCAGTATTTCAGAGAAGCAGACGAAAGAGCGTTAGTACTGCAGGAGAATGAAGATAACCGTTAGTAGGCTCTTGTCAGGAACACAAGCAAGCATCCAGGGTAAAGCAGAGGGGTGAGGTCATTCCAAAGGTAAGATCAGAGAGGCAAAGAAATGGGAAGGAAAGATGGTTTTGGCAAAAGAAGAAATATGTTACAGTGAGCCGTTCCGTTCTTTTTAAGAGTGGGTTTAAAACAAGCTGCAGACCAACATAAAGAGTGACCAAGAAGACGGAGGGTTCAAAGCTTCATGTGTTTGTGAGCATTAAGGGAAAGGTTGAGTGTCTGAGACACTAGGTGCCAAGATCATGGAGAAGATGGGCCACTAAATTATAAGTCAAGTGATTTGTATCTGATTTCTTCTGAGTTGGGACCATGAGTGGTGACATAGGAGAGCTCTTGTTAGTATTAGGCTAGTAAGGAATGATGCTTCCTAGCTTGGACTGAAGCACCCCTGTGAATAGTAAAGGAGACAGACAGCGGGGGTAAACCTTCAGAGTCTTAAGAACAAGATTGATATGGCTTGAGAAAAAATTCATGTAAAATAATTACCCAGCACATTCTGTCAAGCTGGGTGACACAATGACACATCTTCCCATGCTGGGACATGTTTGTTATTGCTGTCATTGTTTTAACTGGAAATCATTAAAGGATTAAAAGGAATCATATCGCACATGGCAAACTATTAAATATAACAAGCATTTAATTCGGCAGCAAGGTTTATCATCGGAGGGCTGCGCACATTAATTCTCCCAACTAAGTGGTGTGTGTTTCCATGGCAAAGCGCTCATTTCTTCTCTGGGATGTGCATTTCCTGGAAATGATTCACGATTTCGTCATAAAACAAGCAACATCTTTATAAGCAAGGACAAAAGGAAAGATTAACACTGCGGCGTTGGCAATTAACTTAAAAAATGGCAGGCACGCTGTTTCATGTTCATATGCCATTGATCAAACATTTCTTTTCATTTTTTTTTCCAACCATAACAAAACCAGCAGATTTAGAGTACAGAAAGAATGAATGACATCAACCCGCGCCGCTTCTGAAGCAGCATCTCAGGACCTGGAGTGTTCTCAGTGCAAACATCGTGCTGAAAACAATTAGATAGCACAAAACAAATCTAAGCATTTCATCACAAAAGTGGCCACTTGTCCCACTCCCCATCCCCATTGATGAGGTGTGCGAGTTTCCCATATTGTTAGCTTAACAACCAGACACCTTGCTTCACACAACTGTCGTCAAACAAGCTCATTCTGTGCACATGTCTGAGATTCTTCACAAGACCCTTTCCATACTGTATCTCCTTCCCTTTAGCCACAATGTGGCAACTATTCATTTACAAAGAGAGCGCTGAGCCAAGTGATGCCCTTCACCCTCCCAGTCAGGAGCTGCGACTTAAGTCTTCAGTTTTCAATTTGTCAGTAAGACCCTGGGTTGAACCCAGTGCTGGAGTTTCTTAAAGGGGAACAGAGATTTTCCCAGGAGACTCTTGGGTTATCGCCTCTTCATGCTCTACTTGAAAGAGACCATTTAAAAAAAAAAAAAAAAGAAATTCACTTAGTTTACATTATAGAGGTAACTCAATCCTGTTAAATTGTTTTCTCATTTATATTTGAAAGCTATCTTCTCAATTTAGGGCTGCGATCCTCTAGTAAAAAGTTTGAAATTGCATGATAGCTGGCCACCTGACTAGCATTTGCATAACCTTATTCCCAATCCACACCTTCCCTCTCGGAATCAAGCGTGCTCTTCCCAGGCACAAGAGATAGGAAATACTCATCCAGAACCCAAAAGTTGTGTTGGTCAAATAACTATACAGGAAGAGTTCAATATAATCTAAGAATAGTTTGCCAGAGATGCAATGCCTGATGGGGCAAGGCTGGTAACCGTTGTCATGGGCACAGTGGAAGGCTGAGCAGCAGAGGTGCCTGGTCCAGTTGAATGCAGTTACTAGGAAACTACCTGAGCAGTTACCCCTTCACCTTAAATGTACCAGAGGCACTGCGGGCCTTCAGTTACTCAGCACAGAATGGACCGCAGCTCTCTTGAGGTGACTGAGTGAAACTCAGCTCAACTCAAACTCTGTAAGTGAAAACTGAGAAGTCACAGGACACGAGTCAAGGTTCTGTCCTAGGACACCGAAGGGCAAGAAAGACAGAGTACATTTGGTTTTCATCTATTTCTTTTTTGAAAACTTCTTTCAAAAAAAATAATCGCTTATTAATTATATTTTTGTGCGTATGATTGCTTTGTTTGCATGTATGTTTGTGCACCATTGCTTTGTTTGCACGTATGTTTGTGTACCATGTGTGTGCCTTCCTGGTGCTTCCTGAGGACGATACCAGTTCCCCTGGGACTGAAGTTATAGACGGTTGTAAAAGGCTATGTGGGTGCTGGGAATTGAACATGGGTTTTCTGGGAGAGCAACAAATGTTGTTAACTGCTGGTGCAACTCCACAGCCTGTTATTTTACTTTTGTGTGTGTGTGTGTGTGTGTGTGTGTGTGTGTGTGTCCCCGTCTGTCTGAGTATGAGTACATAAGTACAGGTTCCCACAGAGACCAGATGAGGGGTTTGAATCCCCTGGAGCTGGAAATACAGACAGCTGTGAACTACCTGCTGTGGGTGCTGGGATCTGAGCCATCTCTTCAGCCTACGACTTTTAAATCCTTTATATAAAAGCGTGGGAATCTGTAGAGGCTTCTAGCATGGTTTCTCAGACGTGTATTTAAGCAGATTTGTATATTTATTCCTAGAATTTCATATTTAGATGACAATGTAAACAGGTTTTGAAATTTTATGGCTAATGCTGAAGCCCAGAGAGGTTTGTAGAAGGAAATACACTGAAAATGAGCCTAGACTGAATTTCTTCTTATTCCCACACATAAAGGAAAATCTTATTTCTTCTTGCATAGATAAAATTTTATAGGCCAGTAATAAGCCCACGAGCTGTTGTATAAAGGCAAGGACGTGATGTGTTTTGACACTCAGAACCAAGAGAATTTGGATGGTGTGGGTTCCTCCAACAGACACTGTGTGGTGTGTGTCCCTCCAACAGACATTGGTGGTGTGTGTCCCCTCCAACAGACATTGGTGGTGTGTGTCCCTCCCATGGGAAAGCCTGGGAAATGTGTCATTCTCTATTGTGAAATTTGTGCACATGCTATTCCCTCCACCTTGTCTTTGTGTGTGTAAAGTGAATATTTAAAAATGGCATGATAGAACCAATGCAGAGGCTTCACTTTATATCTACAATTTATGTGTGTGTGTGTGTGTGTAAGAGACAGCATGTGCGTGTGCATGCGTACATGCATGCTATGAATGTCTTTGTGCCCATAGAGGCCGCAAGAATGATCTACAAGAATTGGAATTTCAGGCAGTGGAGAGCTACCTGACAGAGATGCTGGAACTACACTCATGGCTGCCACATCTCTACAGATTTACCTGTGAATCATAAAAGTCTAAAAGGAACACCAATATGATGAACTGCTCCCCAGTATGGTCCTAAAAGAACCTTTGGGTGTCTTTTAAGGTACATATGAATACTTTTCCCTTTGTTGCATTAGAGAGGAACCACTTTCAAATATGGAAATGAATTAAACATAGATCATATAATAAAATGTATGAGTTCACAGCAATCCTAGAACAGCATCTACAACAGGCATCCAGTGATGCTTTGCTGGTAGACTATGGCCCATGAACAAGTATGTAAGTACACTCCCACCCACCTCTGTTTTTCTTTCTCTTTCTTGGGGAGGGGAATCTAGGTTTGTAGAATAAAAACATATTTAAGTGGTCTACATATTCAAACGAGGTCTCGTGTTGCCCACATTGCTTTGGATATGCTATGGAATTAAGGTGGCTTTGAACTCTGGATCTTCCTGCTTCACCAGCTGAGTTCTGGAATTACAGATGTGCAACACCACACCTGGGAAGCCATCATTAAGGTCATTGCTTTGAATAAAAAAGAGTTCTGGCTTTCACGTCACACTCAACTTTGTCATGTACAGTAGATCCTATTAACAAGGGATCCTTTCAGAAGTCACCTTGGAGGCCAAACAGACATTTAACCAGTTATTGCTCACTGTGCAAATGTTGAAAGGGAAAATAAATAGTACCTAGGGTGTCAGAACAGCCAGTCTTCTCTAATGACATCTCTGTAGCTGCATGATCACTGGCACACACGATGGCCTTCCGCTGTCACAGGGGTTTGAACATTGGCAATAATGAAGAACAACAAGGGTCCTTTGAGAGTTGCTTCAGGAGGCTGAGGGGATATACCCTCCGTTGACACAGAGAATCAACATGATGACAGATGTTCAGAGGGGCTTAGTTAAGTATACACTTAAACAGAAGAACATGAAGCAGGGTGGGGAGACCATCTGGCCCTTATGTCTTAGTCAGGGCTACTCTTGCTGAGATACAACACCATGATTAAAACAACTTGGGGAGGAAACAGTTTATTTGGTTTATGCTTCTACATCACTGTTCATCGCTGAAAGAAGTCAGGACAAGAACTCAGACAGGCCACGA